AGACAACTGAATAGCCCAATGCAGAGGATCAACTCCCTTTCGTTGAGCTACCTTGGTGAGCTCTGTAACTCCGTCCCAAAAACTGCTCTGAACAGATATCGCCATTTTTGCGCCAGATTGAACCCAACTATTGGGGAATTGCTGCTGGTAAACTGCTACGGAGCACACAGAGAGCTAGAAAGAAGGAAAGAGAAAGTTTAGAAACAGTAGTCTTTGGGTCGTCGATTATATAATTAATTAGATTCTCATAAAATTTATAATTTATCAAACATAATAAATTAATTTCGTTTTTACTCTAAAAATAATATTATTTATTTATTTATTTTATATGAATTGATTGATTGATTTTCGTGGATTAACTTCTTCAATAAAGGAAAAGGAAAATTCGGTAGATTAGACGGACGGATCTCACAATATAATTTTAATAAATTATAAATTTGAAAAAGTTTACCTTAAAAAATTACAATGTTCCAATAAATATTTAGATAATTAATAATCTTTTTTTTTTTAAATATTGCATTAAATTTTTTGAAATGGAAATTCAAAAAATGTCTATAAAATAAAATAATTAGAAAAGTAAATGAATTAGAAAGTCAATATAAAAGAAAAAATCTATATTTGAAATTTCGATTACCTAAAAAAAATTCAATTAAAAAGAAAAGAAAATGGCTTTTATTGTTTTGTCAACTCATTTTACAGTTAATAAACTTAAAGTTTCCTTGTTTAGATAATTTTTTTTTTGTCATCAAGATATATAATTTTTAAATTAAATTTATATTAATATTAATGTTAATATTATACTCTTATTAAAAAAATTTAACTTAGTTTATTAAATTAAATATTTTAACGACCACTGAAGTATTATCTTAACCAATTTACCATCGGTGCCTCTCAACAGACGTATTGGAACCCGACACGTGGGTCCAACTGCCCCCGCCTCTATTAGTTGAACCGGTCAAGGACTTTTTTGTACTTCCACACGTTGAAAAAGTATTTCCTTTTTTTTTATATATAAATTGTTAATGTTAATATATTTTAAACTTATATTTTATTTAATAGTTCTTTAAATGTTATATTTTGTTATTCATATTTTAGATATTGATATCAGTAAAAAATTTAAATATTTTGAAATCATTTAATAAACTTTTAAACTCAAAGATTATTATATTTTATTTTTGAACTTTATTGCTACTTTTTTTTTTCCTAATTGACTTAATAAATGATTTATAAATAAATTAAAAGGTAAGGTGAAATAAAGAAAAAAAAATATGTAACCACAAATTTAACACATAACGCGATCATAGATACAATGACCGAGGAAGAAGACTTGCAATAGTTTTTTAAACTTTAAGAGTCGTCTTAGGTCCGACAAGTTTAAAATTTTGAATTTATATCTTATAGGAATACTCGTTAATTTTTTTTGGACCAACCCAATTTTTGGGTTGGTGACGGGAGCAACTCTAATAGAATTCCCAACCCAACCCTCAGTTGATTGAGTTGTCGGTTTGTTCTTAACTCACACTACATCAACATCAGTTATAAATATCAAATATTTTTAATTTTTATAATAATTTTAAAAGTAACTCTATTTTTTAGTTGGTTGATCTGATTGACGACCAAAATATGTCAACTCTCGAACCGACCGAATTTTCAGTTTTTGAAAAATTCAATCCAACTCAAATATATATATGATTTTGATTGGGTAGTCTAAGTTGATCGAGATATTAGATCATATGAACCTCCGTAAATTTTATAAATTTAAATATAGACTACACAAATTCGAATGTTTCTAAAAACACGAGAAAGGTTAAAGTAAGTCGGGTTCGGTCGGGAGAGCATGACAAATGTGATGGGAAAGAGATTGCTCTATCGGTAAAATGATCTCCATCAATCCACCACCATCTTCTTTTCTAATTGTATTGTCTTGATCAATAAATATGACTTTATTTAATCGTTTGAATATAAAATAAAATAGCGTTGACTATTTTAATACATAAAATTACTTTAAAAAATTTATTGAGGAGAGAATATGTAATACCTTAAATCTACCGTGAGTAGATATTGTCCGTTTTGGTTCATTACCTATTATCGTCAATCTCAAAATTTTAAAACACTTTCTGTCAAGGAGAAATTTCCACACTCTTCTAAGGAATGTTTCGTCCCTCCCCTACTAATGTGAGATCTTGCAATCCACTCCTTTAAGGTCAGTGTCCTCGCTAGTACATCACTGAGTGTTGGCTCTGATACCATTTTAACAGTCCAAGTCCACCGTTAATTTTTTAGAATTAGCGAGTATTTAAAATATTTTTATACTCCATATAAGTTTAGTGCGTAGATATAGGATAAATTAAATGCTTAGCTTAAAGTTAAGTTGGATGACTGAAAACTAAATTAAACAAAAGTGATAGTTTACCGTGAAAATTGATACCAGCTCGTCAATCAAGGGTAAAAATTCATTCGAACTCAAAAGATTCTATTTTTTTACGATTCGGAGAACTTAGAGCAAGTCTTTTCGTAATAAGAATCAACTCGACCCTGTAAGATATCAATCGCTCTTTTTCTAGAGTAATCTGATACCAATCTGCCATCTATACCGACTTTGTTCATTTTATTATCAAACTATGTACTCTATTTAACTCGATTATCAGATTTTTCTTAACGTTTTCGTGAATGATGTTTGTAATTGGAATATGATCCTATAATATCGACTAAATCATATTTAAAATTTAATTTTGGAGGTGCAGCAAAAATTGGTGGCCACAAGTTTTGTCTTTATTACAGCTTATCACACACTCTTTTAAAATTAATCCTATCCTTATCTAAAACTAGTAGTCTTGCACATTACATCTTCTTTATTTACTTATAAATTAAAGTTAAAATCGCTTTATTTTATTCCAAATAATGTGAAATGGTAGATTTGGTTACAACTTTTAAAATTTTATTTAATAGGTTAAATTAATAATATATATATATATATATATATATATATATTACCTATCTAAAAATACTCCTATTTTTTTTTTTAATTTTAATAATAATAAAAATACCCTTAAACTTAAAAAAAAAAAAATCATTAATACCTATCAACTTTTTTATAAAAAAAACTGTAATACTTTGTTTAAAAAATACGTATGAAATTTTAAAAATAGAATTAACGCCCTTTATATTATCTCTAAAAATTTTAATATTACTTTAAATTTAAAGGTATTTTTAATTTTTTTAAAAAAATTCAAGTATTAATAGAACTTTTAAAAACTAAAAATATTTTTTAAACTCTCTTGAAAGTTCAAGGTATTTTTGAAACAAAGAATTAACGAAATTAATGGCATTTTTTAACATTCCTTTAAAATTTAAAATATAGAGTTAAAAAGTATTTTTTATTAATTTAGTATATCTAATATATCCATAAATTACTTTAAATCGTATGTTTAATAAATTTTAAATTTTTTAATATTGTATTAACAATTTCTAATAAAAAATTGAAAGTCAATTGTAATATAAGTCAAAAAGTGGGGCAAGCTTATTAATGAGTATAAGCAAATAATTCGTAGGAAAATTTGACCCCTTTCACACAAAATAATTCAATTTTTTTATTAAAAAAATCCACAAATTCCCAACTTTATTGAACAGTTTTTTTTTTAGGAGACCATGTGAAGAATGCACTTGATAATTATATTATTATTTAAAAAAATTGAAGATATTACCATTTGATAATGGGTTAGTTGTTTGCTTCCTATTTTGAAAAATTAAGTCAATTTTGACTTTTACCCATATTGAATTATTAAAATTATTTATAAAATTGCCGATGTAGATGGGAAATAATTATAAAAATATTTCAAAGTTAATTAATTAAAAAGTAAATTAATTATTTTCTTCCTTGGGGGATGAATATATAAATCTGTAGAATGGATTTGGACTTCGATTATATTGGGCTGCAGCACGTAGGCCCAAAAAAAATTTCTCTCCTTGCATGGCCCAATAAGCCCAATGTAGCAAACATGGTTCAACAATGAATTATTTTAGGAAATGGTATATATTTTTACAATAAATTAAATATTCAAATATTTTTACTTATTTTTTTTAAATTTAATTTTAATAAATTTTAAATAATTAGAAGATAAAATTGAGTTGCAAATATTAATTAAACATGAATAACCTAAATTTAAAAAATAAAGGTTAGATTGAGTTAAACAAATTTATAACTCGAACATTTAGATTATGTCTATAAAAAATGATTCGACCCAAAACAATTCACGAAAACTTATGATTTATAAGTGAGAGACGATATATATATATATATATATATATATTATTTGTAGTGGAAATTGAGGCCAAAAGTAAACTGTCTTAGTCAACCTAATACAGTCAAATTGAGTTAGATTTATTACGTCACGATAGAGACCTTGAAAGTGCAAATGACCATATGAATTATGAGATGACCTCGAAGCCTCAAAGATTTTATTTTATTTTTATTCTTAATTGAAATAATAATTCTAAAAATAAAATAAATAATAATAAGAAAAGGAAGCCAGCTATTTTTTCCTGGACGACATGAGAACCAATGTGCAAGGAAGGAACACGTGGCGTCTTTCCAAACGACATGTCAGCATCTATTCCAAGGAATCTGACTATCTGGACAATACCAATTAATCGAAAATAAATTAGAAAAACTAAATTATGAAAATACTTTTTGAATATTTTTATTTTTTATATTTGAACTATAGGTTAATATAGAACAGGTATTTTTTTAATCAATATATTTTATTTGTCAATGATTTATTGAGGTGTATCCATTAATTAATAATAAATTATTATGGACAATTTAAAAATTAATTTCAAATTTCAATTACTTGTTGAAAAGCAACTATGAAACATTTTGAAATTTCAAAAATGGAATAAAAAGTTTAATTTAAATAGAAGGACCAAAACAATTAATTTTAAAAAGTAAATCAATTTTCTTCCAAAAATAAATAGCGAATAATTCAATTATTATTATCCATATCAGCCACGAGCGACTCTACTGCTTCTCTCTCTTTCTCACAGTCTGCGCCGTTGCCTCCTGGTACAGCTTCCTGCGATATTCCCTTTTTCCTCTTCCGATTTTCTTCATTCTCCAAGATCCACTGCGATTTTTCTCTCGGAAATCTCCATTTCTTTCCTCCAAAGCTTATATTTCCTGTTCAATTTCTCAACTATCAGTAATCTGATCGAAGAAGCTCAATCTTTCTCTCGTACCCATCTTCCCATTTTCCCTGTTCCAAGTTTTCCTTCCGGTTCTCTCGAGAACATCGCTCTCCAAGATTCTTCAAATTTTTAGTTCTTTCCGCCATTATTTTTAAAGATTTTCAGTATCATCGAAGAACGTGGACCCGTGCTTTGATCTGTGTACAGTAGCGTTCCCCAGCCATTTTTTTTTTTGGAGAGTTCGCCGAGTTTTGTTGCTGGCGATTTTTGTATTTACTTTTCGTTTTTCACATTTTAGTTCGATTCCAGCTGTTGATGAACTATTTTGTCTGTATTGAACTTTGAAAGTAAAATTTTAGCCATTTTTTCAGTTGAGTTTGCACTTTTGGAACTCCACCTTTTGCTTTTATCTCTTGGTTTTGAGTTTGAGATTAGGTTTTTATTTAGTGTGTTTTAAAGGAAGAGTTTGATGATCTGGACAGGTTACTGATTAGTTAAGTTAGTTTGGATTACTTGCTTCTCGTTCACTTGATTCCAAGTGACATTGGCTGGCTTGTGTGCTGCGAATCTCTGATTGAGTTCGATTTTGAAGCTACGGTTAGATTCCCTATTTGGCTTATTGATCCGGGAACTTGGAAAGGTTTCTTGCTAACATGCAGCACGATCAGAGAAGAAAGGCAAGTTTACGCCTCTTTCTTATGGGATGTCTTCGTTTTCTCCGTTTAGTTAAGCTGAAAATTTGTGTTGGGCATGACGTCTTCGCCTGATGCGAAGACATTATCTTACCCAATCATACATTTTCGTGTGAATAGCATTTTTAGAAGTTCACTTATAATTGTTGTATGTTAATGTCTTCATGGATTCAAGGTTGGTTAGATTTAATGCTAGTTGGTTGGTAAGAAATAACTTCCTTTTGTTTTTAAGTTGTTTTGCCAAGATGTATCGGTAGTCATTTCAAAGTCAAGTACTATCTCCTTCTCTGGATTTTTTGTAATCCATGTACAGTTTACTGTTTACGTTCTTCTGTTATGTCCTGTGAGAGTGATGGTGTCTAAAAATTGTGTAACCAACTCACAAATGCGAAATTCAATGGTATTTGGATGTGCTTTTTGAACACCTACTTGTATATTTATGGGTTTCTACTTTTTGATTCACTCTCTCCATTGTGTTCTTGGTGATGATGATATTTATAGACGTTTAAATGTGTTGATGCAGTCGTCTATGGATGTGGATTTCTTCACAGAATATGGTGAAGGGAGCAGGTATAAAATAGAGGAAGTAATTGGTAAAGGAAGTTATGGTGTTGTTTGCTCTGCATATGATACTCATACTGGGGATAAAGTTGCAATTAAGAAAATCAACGATATCTTTGAGCATGTCTCTGATGCAACTCGCATTCTTCGTGAGATAAAACTTTTAAGACTATTGAGACATCCAGACATTGTAGAGATAAAGCACATCCTACTACCTCCATCTAGAAGGGAATTCAGGGATATATATGTTGTGTTTGAGCTCATGGAATCTGATTTACACCAAGTTATCAAAGCAAACGACGATTTGACTCCAGAACATTATCAGTTCTTTCTTTACCAGCTTCTTCGTGGCTTGAAATATATACACACAGGTCATAGTCTTATCGTCAACAAGTTCATGCATTTTGATTCTGTTTATTTGGAGTATAATAGTTGTATTCTGCAAAGAGTTGAAAAAGTAGTTTCTAAAGTGAAATGTTTATTCTGATACTGATATCAACTCAATAATTACCATTTGTAGCAAACGTCTTCCACAGGGACCTAAAACCCAAAAACATCTTAGCAAATGCTGACTGCAAACTCAAGATCTGTGACTTTGGTCTAGCCAGAGTTGCTTTTAATGATACTCCTACTGCTATTTTCTGGACTGTACGTATCTTTGTAAATAGCTGTGGCTGCTACTTTATTACTCAGTGGGTCAATTTCTTTCAATTAAAAGGTCCTTGTTCTTCGTTACACTATCCCGTAATCAATTTGTTTCATATATGGCAGGACTATGTAGCAACAAGGTGGTACAGGGCACCTGAACTGTGCGGTTCATTTTTCTCAAAGGTGAAAGTTTGCTACTGCATATCTTTTAGTGCTNTTAATCATTGATAATGAGTTTTTTTTTTTTTTTTTTTTTTTTTTTTTTTGAAAAGAAAAATAATATGAAGTACAACATCTCGGTAGCATTTTTTCCCAAATTCACACGAAGAATATGGTTTTCTATAATCTCCCCTTGCTACCTAATATTTTTTAATGGTTCACTTGGATCTTTGGTCATTTTTTTCTTCCCAGCTGACATCACGGTTTTGAACAGCTTTCATATTTTGTGTGAGTGTACGTGTGTTTCTTGATACAAAGTTAAGTTGTTAACTGCTTATAATTTTATGTATTATTTAAGTTATATGGAATGCTCTTTATTGTAGTCTGGGTAGAATGAAGGCACAAGGAGATTTTATTGAATGATCAACTGAACAATTTTTTAACTCCTGTAAGACGGTTAATATAGAACAGGGTCAGACCATAATGTCATGTAAATTTGAGAAAACTCCCTATAAATGAGTTCAAGGATATTCATTATTACCAACAAAGAAAATAGGTTTGTTGATTTCAAAGCTGTTACATGCATTCTAATTTGTAATATATACTTCTTTCAGTATACACCAGCAATAGATATATGGAGCATTGGTTGCATCTTCGCAGAGCTTTTAACTGGAAAACCACTTTTCCCTGGAAAGAATGTCGTGCACCAATTAGATTTGATGACAGATTTTCTGGGAACCCCTAATGCAGAAGCCATTGCCAGGGTTTGATTCCTGTGAAATGTTTTTATCAAGTTTAAGTTTAACAATGACTTTTGTATGTATATCATTTTCTTTTGCTAAATATCTAATCTTATATGATTAGATACGAAATGAGAAAGCTCGGAGATACTTAAGCAGTATGCGAAAGAAGAAGTCTGTTCCTTTCTCCCAGAAGTTTCCTCATGCAGATCCCTTAGCACTTCCCTTATTGGAAAGAATGTTGGCTTTTGAGCCAAAGGATCGACCTACAGCAGAGGAGGTAAGAGACTTTCTGAGTAGTTCCATAATCCCAGTTTACTAAGATAACTTATTAATGCACCGCAAATTGATTTGGTTAAGTTGATGGAAAATATCCCACATTTATGACAAGAATCAAGAGATTCTCATCATATTACTTCAGTCAATCTTGTTAAGCTAGCTAGCTTTCTAAAATCATTCATTACCTGTCCATCTTATATTTACATAATACAGTTTTCAAACACGTTTTGCATGTACTTTTAGGCCCTTGCAGATCCATATTTTAAAGGCTTAGCGAAGGTTGAAAGAGAGCCATCTGCTCAACCTGTTACTAAGATGGAATTTGAATTTGAGAGACGAAGAATTACCAAAGAAGATGTTAGGGAGCTTATTTACCGGGAAATTCTCGAGTACCATCCAAAGATGTTGAAGGAGTTCTTAGATGGATCAGAACCTACCAGTTTCATGTATCCAAGGTATCTTAAAAACAATAGTTCTCTGATCAATTCTATCCTTGAGGTGCTTTTATACTATGCCCTCCTCATTTAGCATTTTTACGAGACACCTCACTTTTTTCATGACTGTTATTTTGGGGTTTGGTTGGGGTGAAAATGTACTTTCCCTGTAACTTCTACACAATTTTTTTTTTTTTTTTTTTTTTTTTAAATATAAACAATCTAGCTTCAAATTTTAATATCACAGTCCCAAGCTATATCATATTGCTTTGTTTTGGACTTCCGATCCCATGGAGAAATCTTTCACTCAAGTCTCCTTGATAGCTAAGTTCCATCCATAGGTCATTTGTATGAGCTGTCCCGTAATCAAGTATTTAATATGAGATTCGTTTGTATTTAGATTTCTGACCTCCATTTGAGGGCTTCAAAAAAGATCTTACCCAGAACTTCAATCCACTAACTGGTCTTTAGATTCTCGACCATTTAACAAATGTTGACATGTAGAAAAAAATGTTTGCTTCTACAGTGCAGTTGACCATTTTAAGAAGCAATTTGCATACCTTGAAGAACACTATGGAAATGGTGCAACCGTTGCCCCTCCTGAAAGACAACATGCATCCTTGCCTAGGTATCTATTTTAATACTTCAATCTTAGTATTCTGTTTCTTTTTTTTTTTTTTTTTGCAATCCATCAGTTGAAAATCGTTGGAAATGATTGAATGTTAACCTCTCAGTTATTATGCACGCAGGCAATGTGTTTTATATTCAGATAACATGGTACAGAACTCGGCACAAGTTGTGAATGACCTATCCAAATGTTCCATCAAAGAAGTTGAGAGGCCACAAGTGGATAGGACTTGCAATATTCCTTCAACTAGAGCTCCTATTCAAGTTCCTCAATCTATTCAAGGTGAGTGTTGCTATCCAATTGCACAGAGTTGCATGCCTCTATATTTCCTCACATGCGAAGATTGTATTTATTCATTCATTTTTAGCATGATGGTATCTTCAAGAGAGCACCCTGATTGCCAAATCGATTACAGAGGACATGGATAATAATTTAATGACTCAACCATGTTTGCTGAGACTCTGCATTTACTTGTAAATGATCTTATGTTTTATATGGTTTGTCATTTTAAAGTTCTTAGGATAGTTTTTCTATCTTCAAGAATAAAAATACAATAATTGCATGATGGCCAACTGTTACTTAAAAAAAGTTGTTTTCGCCTGTGAATACCGCGATTTTCCCAATATTTATTCATACCACTATGGGTTGGTAGTCATGAGAGCAAGTTAACATACTAAACAAACGGGGGGGTTATGGATTCAAACTCTTAGGATGGGTATTGACCTGGGATTTTGTAATCTTTTAAATTTTCTGAGAGCTAAATGTTGTAGTTTTTTTCTACAATTCTTAAAATGTGCGTGAATTGTGAACCACAATATGCGGATGGGGCTGCTAAGCTTGATTATCTGGTTAACTAATTACAATTTTTCTACTGATGATTTGCTGCAGGCAATGCTGTAAGGCCTGGAAAAGTTGTTGGCTCTGTGTTGCGATACAACTGTGGGGCTACAGCATCCGCAGTGGTACCAGAAGTTCTTGAACAGCGGAGGACGACCAGAAACCCTTCCATTCCACCACAGTACGCCCCTAATAACTGTTCATATCCTAGAAGAAACTCATCATGTAAAAATGATACGACTGAAGATGAAGTCATTGAAGGTTCGAATGGACTGCAGCCAAAACCTCAGTACATAGCTAGAAAAGTTGCTGCTGCCCAAGGTGGACCAGGAAATAACTGGTACTGAATTTATAATCCGCTATTCGATCTGGGGTCTGATTGTTTCAGTAAAGACGTAACTGATCTCCAATGCGGGCTTGTACTAAATCTTCTCAACGACCATCTCCGACAAGTGTGAGTGAAACCAACAGCATCATTACATGAGGATGATGATGTTTCCTACCATGATTCATTGGAAAGGCAAGGCAAACTGTACTCTATGTTGCTGACATAGTTGGGTTGCTATCTTAGCATTCTTTACTCTATATGAACACGTTGAATGTTCATCGTCTCGGCTGAAGTATTGTGACTGGTTGCAGCTTACCTGGCTCTTGAAATTAGGACCATGACACTGATTATTTTGCTTTCTTTACACTTTCAATCTACGCAGGTATAAGTTATAGAACTTCACTAATCCAATCCACTAAGATTGCTGTTCGACTATATTGGGAACCTGGAAATCAACCTTAATCAGCAGCTGATTCTATGTATGAAGTATGTAGTAACCCTATAGACTTATTTATATTTTTTTTTCACTTCAACCGTTTTCATATCTAACTTCTTTGTATCACTTGAGAAATTCTGATGAGCTTCTTGTTGATTGCATTTCCAGTTAAACTACCCAACTCATTTTGCTGAGTTTTACTATTTGATTTAATTATCCCGTTGTGAGAATACTTAAGTTACAGTTGTGACCAAACTGAGTAACAAATTAATACGAAGCATCCATTAGGTGATAAGTCTTAAAAACTTTGAGGAGAAGCTCGAAAGGGAAAGTCCAAAGAGGACAAGAAACATTCCTTGTAAGGGTGTGGAAACCTTCCGGGCAAGCCCAAAGAGGACACGAAGAATTTCTTGCAAGAGCATGAAAACCTATTTCTAATAGACATGTCTTAAAAACCTTGAGAATATAATATCTACTAGCAGTATGTTATAAGCTATTACAAATGGTATCAAAGTTAGACACTATGCAGTTTGCCAGCGAAGATGCTAGGTTCTCAAATGGGGTGGGTTGTGCGATCTTTCCTTATAAGGGTATGAAAAAGCTCTCCCCAACCAAAGTTAGACACTATGCAGTTTGCCAGCAAAGACGCTAGGTTCTCAAATGGGGTGGGTTGTGCGATCTCGAAGCGTTCCTTATAAGGGTATGAAAAAGCTCTCCCCGGGAAGGAAAACCTAAAGACAATACCAAATAGCAATGGAACATGGGCATAATAATTTGTTGCGTTTTTCAATGAATGTAAAAAGAAGAGAAAAATAATTTGAAGCCATGGGCATTTTAGGCTTAAGCCAAGAATTTCTACAGCATCCTGCGACTTTGAACTTTGTAATATATGTAAATACAGAATATGATCCTCATCCATTACACAGACTAAAGATACGCGCACGCCATCCATCCAGATTGATTTTTACAATAGGAAGCCAAGAGAAAAGCTAAGACTCAGAATTTAGAATGTGAATTAGCAAGCAATCATCACTGCATTACTGACTGACCACGTTTAAAATCAAAGCGACCTCTGCACATTGCTTTCTCTCTATCTTATTCACGACCACAAATGGTGGTTTCGATGCATTGCAATCAGAGCTCAATACAGCCTCTGCCTTACCCGTCTACCATTCGCGTAATTTCCATCCAATACTGTCCCATTACCGTACCCGCTGCAAGTATTCACTGCGTGCTCTGACACCTTTGCTACGTATTCTAGTAGCTCGGTGAGAACCGAAGGGCAGCTCTCTTTCAAATATTCAAACCCCTCCGTTTGCATTACAGCTGCAAGACAAACATAATAATACCAAATATGCATCAATGGAGAGCCAAACAACCATTTTCATATTGAACAACCAAGGTTCGTGCATCAACCGACATTTAACTACTCGGAAACAAATAGATACCTCTCAAATTCTCTGGCAAGGCGATGACTTTCAGACATACAGCTTTTAGTTGGAAACAGTGATGCTGCTCAGCCAATGCTAATGTCGTTGCCACTGTATTTATAGCAACATCCTCACATAGTTTAGCCTCGCAAAGCAATTTGAGTCTGTCAAGTGCATATCTGTCTGCAGCGGCAAGTAGATGCTGAGACATAAGCGTGGAAGCCCATTTTGAGTTCAAACCTACCATTTCCTGCATGTCTGGTAGGTCATCCCAGTATATGAAATGAAGCAATCCCTGTAATTGTACGGACAACGAGGAAAAACAAAATTTATCTTGATGGATGGCAATACTAAAAAAAAGAGAAATTCCACATCTCATACACTCCTAGTTCTCCAAAACTCACAGAATCATTGAAATTAAAAGAATACGAAGAAACTATCCCGAGGTCTAAACTAAGCATTGAAATTATCGGTTGAAAAAATCGAAAAGATAGAACAGAAAAACCATTCTTCTAAAAAACACAGCATGAAGCATTTACATTGGTTAAGTGCGCCAAAAGACAAGCTAACATGAAAGGGGGAGAGCACCTTAAAGACTGGGGCTTCCATATCTTGGACTTTTATGCACTCAGTATTGTGGTCCTTAAGAGGGCCAAAGAGTTGTGCCCTAAAGACGGGTGAGCGTGCTGCGAGAACTAACTTGTGGGCGGAAAATATTTCCCCATCTACTTCAAAGTTCACATCAGTTAGCTTCTCACTCTCCAATAGCTTCCCAAAATGCTGGCCTATATCAGAGGGTGGTGGTGTTATGGAGTAAATCTTTGGCCCCTCTGTATGAGACTTAACGACACCAACTACACAGCGGATTTCGAGGCAGTCGTCCTTTAGGAAGTCAGATGTTTCTAGAAGAGTTCTTTTAAAATAACGTTTATACCCCCTGTACAATAGAAAAAAAGGAATACCTGGTCATTTCCTTTCTTCTTCATTCCACAATAAAAGAAACAAAACATTTTATTATCAAGTGAAGAAATGGGGAAGAAATCCTGAGATCTTAACAAAGGAGAAGGTTCCAGAGAAAACAGGACACAATTTTGTTGTGTCCGGAGATCAACATATGAAAGAACAGGAACATTTGGGACAACTGTAAAATCTAGATAGTATTGTTTTTTGGTTAAATTGAAAACTTGGTCCATATAGTTTTAAAAAAATTAGAATTTGTCTCTACAATTTCAAAAGTTAGAATTTCGTTTTCGGAGAAGCTAGAAGCCTCCCCAGTGTATGAGGGAAGTAAGTAGCTCGAGATCATTCCGAGGGGACTGACTAGATCAAGACTAGGAGTTCTATACCTTGCAGGTGAAGGGTTCAAGTCTCGTCAAGCAGCTTCGCTCCTCCAGTTCTACTATTATTCTTGACTTTACTTATTATATATAAAAACGACTCACTATCAAAATGAAAGACAATCGATTCCCAACTGTTTGTAATTAAAAAAAAAATGAAATAGAAAGATGACCAGAAGGAAATTAGACATATGTCAATTTATTATGTTTAACAAGGGCTCAATACGTGCAAAACAAATGATAGATATACCGAAAGGCCAATGAACCCGAACCGAGCAAACAAATGGCTGGAAATTGGTGACCAGAAGGAACCTGACCGAATTGGGATTTGGAGAGCTTATAGGTATACCGAGGCTGAGAGGAGCTAGGAAGCTCATCTTGAGGACAGTTGTCTAAGCAGTAAAATGATCTTAATCATAACTAATAGCAGGAGAGCTACAGAAAAGGGAGTTTCCTAACAGGTCTGGATTGGACAATGAACATGGTTTATGCGCAGCTAATGTAGCGGCTTGTCGAGCATTTGACAGACTCATACCAAATGCTCCAAAAATGTTAAAGCGTTGGACAGCTTGTGGTGAAACAATACAGGAAATTTATACATGAGAATGAAGAACATAAAATAGCATTCAAAGAAACGAAATCACAGATAGATCTTAGTAGTAAATCAACGAAACACAATGCTTACCACATGCTTCCTCGATACTTAAGCGTATAAGGGCCACTCTCAAGCCTTCTCTCGAAATGGCTATGCACCTTGTGGTTCCCCTTCCCACTTTGATCCAAAAGCGTCAATTCAAAAAGGGCTCTAACGTCAGTCCCTTCATTAGCCAACGCTATGAACACCGAGACATAAGACGCGTTATCCTCGGCGCTCTTCCCATCGGGATAGAAATATACAGCAAACGCATAGCCCCCAACCATAAAGGTATCGGACGCAATATATTTCCCACTCCCCATCCCTTTATTGAGAGAATACCCATTGATCCTGAACTCGTGCGATCCATTCACGGTCTCAAATCGAGAAGTGGAAGAAGTCACTGGTGGGGGCGATGGCGATCGAAGATTTGAAAAGGATTTAGAGGCATCCCTGCAAGATTTAATCGTGCCCATTAACTAAAGAATCGTATACAACAAAATCTTTGATGTGCCGGACCGCAAATTGAACTCGAGAACCGTCGGCCGATAAATCAAAACCCGATCAAAAATTAGGGTTTAGGATTTGAATCGACAAAAGAATCATCGCGACAACAGCGAACAAATTGGGGGAAACAAAATCAACACAAGGATATTGCAGAGAACAGCCCGAGGATGACGATTTGGTGGCGTTCTTGACTGGAAATCGAATAATCGTTCTCGAGGGAAAAAAAAGGGGAGAGGGCTGGAAGAGAGTCTGTGATTGGATGAAGAGTGGAAAGTAACAATTTGCTCCTCAGATTATAGAGTAATATCAAATTGGGGCTTCGTTCTTGGTGGGTCTGAGAGCTTTGAATTCGTTTAATCTTCTAGGGAAAAGAGAAAAGGGAAAGAAAACAAAAATGGCAGATTGGGTTTGGAAATTTGTATGAACAGTAATTACAGTCCAAATCGCATAAACAAAACTAAACAAAAACAAAAAGAAAGAAAGAAAGATTCTCTCTCTTTCTTCACAACAATTACTCTTCGGCGAAACGCCGCAAGAGCAATGCCTGTCGGAGAGTTTGGGCTTCAGTCTTTTTTCCCCTAATTTTCTTTTCACAATATATATAGTAATTTTTCATTGATTATTCAGATTTAGCCATTAATTTAAATATAATTCACCTCATTAAAATATAAAATAAAATAAATTTATACTTAATTTGTCGGGATAAAATGATAATAAAAAAACAATATTTTAAAACTTTGTGTATCGATAAAAACTTTAGCTAATAATTATGTTAGTATTTTTATAATTATATATTTTTAGCTAATAATTATGTTAGTATTTTTATAATTATATATTTTCACCTTTTCTGAAACTCCATTAAAAAAACGGTTACTTTGCCGGTGCAAATTTATAATTATATCAATAAAATGGTTGAATTTTTATTAGTGTGACAATTTAAATCAGAAAACGCTAATTTACATGTTTAAACTAATAAATTGTAGTTTTTATTGATAAAACTCGAGAGTTTATGTAATAGTTCAAGGTCACTACTAATAGATATTATTCAATATTGCTCACCTTGGCTCATTACATATCGATATCAGCCTCACGGTTTAAAAATGCATATATTATGGAAAGGTTTCAACACTCTTCTAAATAATATTTCATTACCATCTCCAATAGTTGTGGGATCTCATAATTTACCCTCTTTGGGGGCTTCATTATAAATAAAATTTCGTTACCATCTCCAATAGATGTGGGATCTCTGGTCACTGACACACAGCTCCGTGTC